CAGAAACACGTTTGCCAGGTGAGCCCAGGTGGGCACGAGTCCCCCCCCCCCCGCAGGGAAGCCCAGGTGGGCATGAGTCCCCCACAGGGGAGCCCAGGTGGGCATGAGTCCCCCACAGGGGAGCCCAGGTGGGCACGAGTCACCCGCAGGGGAGCCCAGGTGGGCATGAGTCCCCTCAGGGGAGCACAGGTGGGCATGAGTCCCCTGCAGGGGAGCCCAGGTGGGCATGAGTCCCCTGCAGGGGAGCCCAGGTGGGTATGAGTCACCCGTAGGGGAGCCCAGGTGGACATGAGTCCCCCTCAGGGGAGCCCAGGTGGGCATGAGTCCCCTCAGGGGAGCACATGTGGGCATGAGTCCCCTGCAGGGGAGCCCAGGTGGGCATGAGTCCCCCTCAGGGGAGCACAGGTGGGCATGAGTCCCCTCAGGGGAGCCCAGGTGGGCATGAGTCCCCTGCAGGGGGGCCCAGGTGGGCATGAGCTGCCGGGCTGTTGGTTGTGGAATCAATACTTTGGTCCTTTGAGAAACAGAGAGGAAATTTGCTGATCTGGAGGTTCTCCAGAAAATGCAAAAGAAACATCTACAGTATGGCAATGGTGTGAAACAGGGTGGAACAAGCCTGAACTTATGGATTCATAAGGAGCTGATTCAAAAACAAACATAAGAGCTAAGCATGGTGGTTCAGACTTTCAATCCCAAAATTTGAGAGGCAGAGGCAGGTGGATCTCTGTGAGTTCAAGGCCAACCTGGTCTATGTAGAAAGTTCCAGGCTAGCCAGGGCTTCATAATGAGATGCTATCTGAAAACAACATAAAACAAAGAAACAGAAAAGGAGCTGGGATGTGGTTCAGTGGGAGAACACTTGCTTCATTTCTGTTACTGAGATAAAATCCCCTGATATAAAGCAATTTAGAAGAAAAGGGATTTCTATTAGTTCTCAGTTCCTGGTTATGGCACACTGTTGAGGAGAAGTCAGGGCAAGAATTCAGGGAGAGAGACTAGATGAATGCATGCCTGGGACTCAGCTAACCTTCCCTACTCTTATAAGGTCAGGGGCTCCAAACCAGGGAATGATGGCGTCCACCTTCAGGCTGTGCCTTCCCACACCAATTAAGGCAGCCAAGCGAATCCCAAATAGACACACTCACGCTCGCAGGCTGAGCTGATCTAGACAACCCTTCACTGAGACTCTCTTCCCAAGCTGTTCTTCCCAAGTGTCAAGTCAACAGTTAGAGCTATCACAGTACACGTATAGCAGCGTGGCTCCACCACAGAGCAGAAAGACAGCAGGGCTCGTGGACGCCATTGCTGTGAATAGTCCAAGAAACTCAAGTCACACCATGCACCCATGAGAAAACGTTTGACATTTTTAGCTACTGTTTTCTTTATCACACCCCCTCTCAAAGGCACGCCCTCAGTGACCTAGTTCATCCCACCACCTCAGGTTTTTACTGCCTCCTAATAACACCGTGAGTGGGAGCCCGTCTCAAAATATGAGCCCTTGAGAGACGGTCCAGATCCAAGTAGAACCTGAGTCATTCAGTAAAGAGATCAAAGTCCAATGCCAGGACTAGAGCGGATGAAAAGAGCCAGGAGACAGGCAGGAGATGGGAATGACCGGATGTGGCATTTGGAGAAGAGAATGCCAACCCTCGATGGCTCAGTGAATCAAGAAGTGAGGTTGAATAGAGAAGACCTGGAGGAGAAATGTCTTCCGCTTGAGAACTAAACCTGAGCTACCTTCTGATGGAGATGTGTGGCAGCTACTGAATGTATACCTGGGTTCAAGAGCAGGAACTTGCCAGTGTGCACTGACCACTATTGACAAGTTGAGGAGATGTGCGTGATGGAGAGGACACCCACGGAACCCAGAGTAAAGATGCTCAGAAATAGGACAGGGAGGATTGTTTCTTCAGAACGGTTCATGGAGGACCTTTATGTGGCGTGCACTGTGTGATATGCTACAAATTAGAGAGAGTTGAGTCAGCGCGGCTGAGGGTGAAGGAAGAAAAAGACACAGAAAGAGAAAACTGGGAACAGTATTTCACCAGAATATAGGAAATCCTAAAATGAATGATTGAATGAAGAATAAATAAATAAAAGAAATGGAGAGTTCATGGGTTGTAACTAAATCACGAATGCTTTGAAAACAAAAATAGGAAGTCTAATGATGGGAGTATGTTTTTCTGAGCATGACAAAACAGTTCATCATTGACAAAAAGATCTCACAGTTCTGGGGTTCCCGGGCAGGGCACCAGCATCAACTCAGGTCTGGTGGATCTCTTGGAAGACTGCAAGAGTGCATGCCAGTGGGATATCATCTTGCCAGTCAGGATGCCCAAGAGCAGTTCAAAGGTCAATCTCACTCTTGGCATGACTCACAGGTGCTCAAGGCTCCCACCATTGTCACCCCAATCCCTTCCAAGTGCCGTTCCCTCGGTGACCTCAGCATGTCTCACCAGGCCTGCACTCGTTATAAAGACCCCGCGGTCTCTTATCACCTCCTCTCTGGGGACTAAACTCCTAATATGTGCACTCAAAACAATATCCAAACCACAGCAAGGATCTTTATTCACTCTTCATTCATTCATTCATTCATTCATTCATTCATTCATTCATTCTTGATGCTGGGTATTGAGCCCAGACCCTAACCCATGCCACCCAGGCATGAGCTAACTTGGAGGCTGTGGCTCAAACCTCGGGCCTTGCACCTGCTAAGCACAGTTTTTGTTTTGTTTTGTTTTTCAATACAGGGTTTCTCTGTGTAGCTTTGGTGCCTGTCCTGGATCTCACTCTGTAGACCAGGCTGGACTTGAACTCACAGAGACCTTCCTGGCTCTGCCTCCCAAGTGCTGGGATTAAAGGCATGTGCCACCACCGCCCGGCACTAAGCACATTCTTTACTACTGTTCTCCATCCAGAGCCCCTGAGGATTTTTGAACAGAGCAGGCTTACAGGCAGAGTTAGAACAGAGGTTCTCTGGCAGATACAGCTGCAGCTAATGGGATTTCATAATAGAATCAAGAATAAAAGTTAAGGGAGCTGAACTTCTGGGACATGAGGGATGGGGACATGCAGGTTATGTGGATAGGTACAGGGTTTGAGTCAGTGGCTGGAGGCAATGACAGCGTTTCCCGGACTGCTCTGAAGGCCCTTCAGACTGCTGTCGCCTGCCACTTAGATAAGCACACCTTCTGGGCATAGATAAGACCAGCCTGAGACATAGAGGGAGGTTGGAAATAGGGAAGGAAAAGGGATGGGAAGGAGGCAGAGAATGCTTCATTAGTCTGAAATCCTGATGGCTAGTTCCCTGTGGACCACATTGGAGTCTCAAGGACAAGCTAAGGCACCTTAGAGTTCTCCATCCCAAGCTGCCCAAGCAGCTGCTCAGTGCTGGACTTGGGTTGTTTGTGGAAAGGCTTTTAAAAGACTCTCCACCTCTTGAGGATGTGGCCCCACAGCCTGCCTGGACTAGCTCTGTCATTTGCAGGCTCCCGGGTCAAAAACTAAGAATTTCAAGAAGAGCCAAGGGAGGGCTCTTTTGAAGCATGCAGCCTTATGTGGCTGCACAGGATGTGTGCTTTGGGGGGTCTGCTCTGCCTGTGGTGGAGCGTCACGGCCTCCAGAGGTATGACCTCAACTCACATCCTTGCTGCACCGTGACTGAGGGTGCACACACACCTGGGAGAAACTTCACCCCTCTGGCACTCCTCCACCTCCTCCACACCCTCTGCTTGAAGTTCCAACCTGTTCCCACTGCTCTCCCACGCATGCATACTCATCTCTAGAGAAGGGTCCTAATTCCGCCTCACCAGTGAACTTGCTCCAGATCTGCTCCAGCTGTCTTAAGACGCCGTTGACCTTCTGATGAGAGGTCGGTCATGTCACCTACTTGCAGGAGTCACAAGAAGAGACAGGTACAGTCGTCTTCCTGGCGCCACTATGCATTATTGTTTCCAGTTTTGGGGGGCACCCAGGGCATGGCTGGCAGGTCTCTGGTCACCCATGGAGTGGCTAAGATCTGAGACTCTTACTGCAGAGGACCTAGTTGTAATCCAGAGACATTGAGAACTCACTGCTGCCTCCCTGTGGTAGAATCCCACTGGATAACATTAGCCATGTGATCGTTGTGTTATTGTGTTATGTATGATAAGTAATGATGACGCTTTTATCTCTGAGGAAGCTGGACCCCCCCCCCAAAAGTTAAATGATTCCTCAAGATGACACAACTTGGTTGACAGATTCTGGGAGTGGAGAAATCATTGTCTTGAGTTGCGTACTCACCCCACCAGGCTCATAGGCGTTTCCAATCTAATGGTCACACAGTGGCCCTAGTTAAACCAAACAGATCACAAAACCAAACCAAAAGGAACCAGTAAAGATTGGACAGGGCATGTGGGAGGCAGTGAAAGAGATGGGGAGAAAATAAGACGGGGTAGAGAAGGGCAGATGGTCAGAATACATGATGTGCATATATACATGCAAGATGTTGTCAGTAAAAGGAAAGGAAATTCCATTACTGAGGAGATGAACTAAAGATAACTTTTCTCCCTGCTCTAAGAAGAAACAAGATTACACAGCTATGACATGGCACATACAGTCAAAAGTAGATCTCAAGGCCGGGCGGTGGTGGCGCACACCTTTAATCCCAGCACTCGGGAGGCAGAGCCAGGCAGATCTCTGTGAGTTCGAGGCCAGCCTGGGCTACAGAGTGAGATCCAGGACAGGCACTAAAACTACAGAGAGAAACCCTGTCTCGAAAAACAAACAAAAAAAGGAGCACTCAAACCTCCCAGGCCTCTTGCTGTCCCTATATTCCCTGTGGAGGACCCCAACCTCCCTGCCTAGTTATCACCTTGCCCGCCGAGGACCACTTCATGAACACAGCCTCAGGCTTTGTCACACCATCCATTTTACTTGTACGTGAAGGCATCAGCCATGATTTCTGCCTTCCTCCAACGGGAATAACTTTCTAGCCAACTTTTCTTTCTTGTTTGCTTTAGAGACAACCCTGCTACCCAGTTTAACCTCAAAACCCACACGAATTCTCAAGATCTGAAGACAGCTATAGAGAAAATTACCCAGAGAGGAGGCCTTTCTAATGTAGGTATGTGACCCAGATTCGGGTTCATTCTACCTTGTTACCATGGTGCACCTTCTATGTGGTTGTGATATAATATTCTATATTGGAGAAGGAGGGAAAAAAATCCATCAAGAAATGACATGCAGCCTCTGTCTCTTTCCTAAAGTATTACCACGGATTCAGGTGCAAGAATGGTCAGAAGACCTGTGCCTCACAGTCCCTTGCTTCTTTGGGTTGCAGCCATATTCCCCGGGACTAACAGAACAGCTGTGTGACTACTCCATGGTCGGCCTATAAGCTACCAACCAGTTAGTGTGGAAGTGTCACTATTCCACTCAGGAGGTCCCTTTGGGGGTCTTCTTCCCATCAAAGTCGTTGGAATGGTGATTATGCCAGGAGAGACAGGTCCTGTATTTGAAGATGAGTTTCCTGTGCCATGTGAACCTCAGGAGGAGCTAGTGGTACTAGAAGTCCGAGGTCTAGTTCTCAGTGGGACAGCCCCAGAAGTCCCATTGGACCTGTTCACCCAGGGGAGACTGGACAAGGGGATGGTTTTACCATGCTCGAAGACTGGGAGAAGGCTGGTTCTGCTCTAGGGAAACTTCCAACCGTTTAAGGCCAAGGGAATTCAGATGCCAGTTACGGTGGTGTAACTGTGTGGAATAAAGCAGCGAGCAGAGCTAACGTCCACAGAGCATCCTTGGAATTATAGAAAGGCTGAATAATGAGCTCCCTCCATCTCCTATCTCTCTAGTGACCAGAATATTAATATCTGGAAAATGCAGCCTCCTTCACAGCAATGCAATGCTCAATAACCACTAGCCAAGTCACTAAGTCCATGTCTGCAAAGCCACATTAACTGCATCGTAAGTGTGACAGAGGGGATTATGTGTTTGTGTCCAATATAGTGCTTACACAAGCAAAATTGCAATGGGAAAAACTTAGCCAGGCACTCAACTCCCCTGATGAGGTCAGAGAGGTGTCCTAACCCAGACGGTATACATTTTCAGGGGGTGATACGTTCTCGCTCTGCCTCGCATCATTCAGGAATCCAGGGAACACGGCCAATGGAACTGACTGAGGCACGTGCGGATTCGGTTCATGGAGGGGCCTAGAAAGGGCAGGAGAAGAACACTGTAGCTCGAAACCTTCTGAATGACTTCTCAGGGTGCCGGGCAGAGCAAGGGTCAGTAAGGGAGCCGCCACCTCTACCGGTGTCAGGAAAGCAGTTTTCAAATTCTGTCAAGAAGGCCTTTTCATGAACCTGCTCCAGCCAGAATGTTGCCATGTTGAGGGGAGTGGTATGCACAGCTCACGGCAACAGGGCCACGCCCTACACTCCCCATTCTCTCTGTCTGTCTCTGTCTCTCTGTCTCTCTGTCTCTCTGACACACACACACACACACACACACACACACACACACACACACACACACACACACAGAGTGAGCCAAACACAGCACCAAGAACCCCACAGTTTCATCCGTGGAAACAGGAGAAACAAAGTTACGGTCCCTGCCTCCCTTTCATTTTCTTTTTTTAAAGATTTATTAATTTATTTATTATGTGCACAAAAGAGGAAGCCAGATCTCATTACAGATGGTTGTGAGCCACCATGGGGTTGCTGGGAATTGAACTCAGGACCTCTGGAAGAGCAGCCAGTGCTCTTAACCTCCGAGCCATCTCTCCACCCCCCCTTTCATTTTCTAAACCTCCTTCAAGTGTATCAACTTAGGGAACCAAGTATAGGCACAAGGGACTATGGGTAACACAGCTTCCAGATTTCAGCTCCTATGTGAGGGTGGACGGGATGTGTGTTGAGCACTGATCACTTCGGCTTCCATATTTAAGATTGGATGAGGTCAGAAATCTTATGGCATCTTACAACTCCTGCACTTTGCTAATATTACGCTGGAAGGTACTGCTGGGTGCTCTAAGCCTTGAATTCTCAACAGCCATGGTTTTTCTTTTACATCGGGATCTCTGCAGCCAGTTCACGTGGCATTCACTAAGACATTTCTCCAGCAGCTTCGAACACAACCACCTGTTGCTTTCAACGGGCAGGTAAGACAGCCCGGGAGCCAGGATGCTGACCAAACCCGGAGGAGCACTGAGTGGGAATTGTGTTGATTCTAAAGTCTAAACAAGGCAACTTTAACTGTTACTGAAATAGGAACCCATTTGGGAATGTCCTAGAAACTGTGGCCTTTTATATATTCATATACACAAAAACTCCTTTCAGGGGGACATGTATACACAACACACACACACACACACACACACACACACACACACACACAATCCATAGGATCTAAGTTAAGAGCCATGCTATGTACAGCCATGCTAACTCAAATTCAGCCATCTCAATATGCACAGAAGGACCTAGGGCATTCAATGATAAAACTAGGAAAATTCTGGAAAACTGGGACAGTGGGTTGAATTAGGTGAAAATGCCCCGAGGCTCTTGCACAGTGTGAAATACACACATGAGACTCCACTATTCCTTGTGACTGTGGCACTCGGATGAAGCAAACCATTAGTCTGGAAATCGAGGCCTCAGGACCTTGAGTAACCTACAGGGCCACTAATTGTCACAGCTAGGGCCAGAACCCGGCCTCTCTGTTCCTAGGAGGTACATCCCTTCCATGGCCAGCCAGACCTGTGCCCTCAGTCTAGGACTGGAGAAAAGGCGTCACTAACTACGGAAGACAGCCCGTCACATAATAGCAGGATCACCGGGCCCACTCAGGCTGTAAGAGGCCAGGAGGAGGCTATTGTCACTCCAAATTGCCCCCTCCCATCCCGTGTTCTCAGACACAGCATGGGCCTGTTCAGGGGCCTGATAAGTCTAATACCCAGAGGCAGGTGGATCTCTGTGAGTTCGAGGCCAGTCTGGTCTACAGAATGAGTTCCAGGACAGCCAGAGCTACACAGTAAAATCCTGTCTCAAAAAAA